GCTGTCAAATGGCGTATTTCACGGGGCTCGCCTGCTCCAGCAGACCTCTTCAAAGTAGTGTGCAGTAAGAGTCACTTTGAACAGTAGGGCTTGCTTGGCCCCGAGCCATGGTCTTTTCAGTGGCCTCACGCACGTGAAAGCCGGACAGTGACCCTGGAGAACTGATGCCGTGGAATCCTGGGGTGGGCAAGGGACGCTGGAAGTGGGGTGGTCTTGGATGAACAGCTGGAATGCCCCCTTGAGGCAAGGACGTTGCAACGTTGAACGTTAGACAGTCTATCAGGGAGCGCCGGGTCTGGTCTGGCGCAGGCCCTCCTGCTTGGTAAAGTAGAGGATCAGTGAGAGGGGATGTCCATCAAGGAGATGGACTGACAGTGGCTGCGACAATGGACTCAAACAAGGCAGTGCTTTCTTCTGTTGGATCTGGGGTGGCTGTGAGTGGGGGCTGACTGGACGGCACAGAACAACAGTCTTGATGGCGGCACATCACCAGGTCTTTTCCTCCATGGAGCCACTGGTGGCATTGGTAGCATTCTGATCACATTTACCTACCGAGCTGCCATGGCTTCTTAGAGTAATCCGGCTTTACCGGAACAACCCAACTCCCTTTCTCTTGGAGAGCTAGGATTCCTTGCCTCTCCATTTGAATGTTTTCATTCTTAAAATGGATATGTGTAATGCCCAATCTTTGTTTTATTAAAGATCACCTTTCTCTACATACCCAGTGATATGGATCCTGAGGACAGGCGATTGATCATTTGGCTATGCTCAATTCCAGATGCACCACGACATACCCGGTACCTGGGCAATCATGACAAACACACCATCTCTGAAACGGCTTTTATTAAACAGCAAAGTAGAATTGCAGCACAGTTTTTAAATGCTTGTGAATGAGGTCACAAAAGGGAAGCATATGTCTGCAGTAGGACAATCAAGTATTCATACAAATAAAGTCATTTAACAAATCCATCAGTGCAATCCTAAGATTATTCCATGATTAAAAGTAGCCCCAACTCTAAGACCCATAGACTCTGTTAGCGGAGCTCTCTGTCTACTGTAATAAACATGTTAACATTTCTGATGCCATTTTTAAGTGAAAACTACAAATGAAGTTTTAAAAATTGTTTAGTAAAAGGATGCCCAAGACTCTGTAAACCAAATAGCTGGACTTACAGAAAGTTCCGGGAGAAGTGGCGAGAGAGAATACTGTGAAAGGTTATCAATTAGTACACAAGGGAAACGCTCCCCTCTTTTTCATGATTCTGATACTAACATACTCAGAAGTTTGTGCAAAAGTTAATCTTATAGGTGCTATGAATCACAGGTTCCCAGACATATTTAGTTCACCACCCCCTTTTCAGAAAGAAATGACTCAACTCCCCTGACAATTAAAATCGTTCGTGCTACAGCCAGGATAAAGTGTAGTTATCTGCTTTTGCAGCCCCCCTGGACCACTCCATCACCCCAGGGGTGGGATGGCTGGCCCACTTTGAGAAACACTCCTGGCTATAAATAGACCTTAGAAGGCCAAACCCTATGGGATGGCTTTCTTCTAGATGTGATTTACAGTGCTGGTCAGACGTGAACCCACTTTCGCATCATTTAAACCCAAAGGCATAAACTGGGGAGGTGACAACGAAAATTTGGGATGAAGACCTTTGGAGTTGGCTACTATTGCTTCCTAAGTATTTTTCTGCTCTGTTTTCCCAAGGTTTTCTCTTTTAAGTGCACACAGTATTTTCTCTCCGGGACCACATCAGTCATCTTGTGCAGAGGGAAGTGTTGACCAACACATCTTCCCAGTTCGAAAATTCATAGTGTCAAGGAATAATCTTTATTTTCATTCCATTTATTAAAAAGAAAAACCAGCCTATCTTATTACAAAATATAACAAATACACAAGCCCCAGCTGAGAAGGTTATTTTGAGTGAGTTATAATGAGGTCAGGTTGCTCTCATAAGTGATTAACTAGTGAAACTGCTCTTACAAATGTGAGACCATCCTCTTGTTTTGCTCCGGGGCCGGGAGATGGGAATGGAGCGGCCAATGGGAAAGAGGCACACGATGGTGGACAGGGGACATAGAAAGCTGTGCATTCAGTACGGAATTTTGGTCACTTTTCCACAACATGGTAGTTATTTTCTCGTATCATCTTGGTACTACACCTACAAGCCAGTGCTAACCCTAAAACTGCAAATTTGATAAAACATTCATTTTCAAGGTTTCATAAATATAAGCAATTCTAATTATAAAGTCTCTACAATACATTTGCACGTTTCCATTGACTAACATAATATACAGAGAAGTCTCCTGTTCGGCCCTTCGTTCTCCTAACTTTGCCTAGATCTGCCATTACCTTCATAAATACTCAATGAAGCCACAAACACAGGTACTGAGATGTTTGGAATCTATCCAAGGTGAAAGGAAAACACACTGAAGACCAGAAACCACCCGCAGCGATTCCACGAAGCCCAGAGGCTCTCTCGCCCTTACTTCCTTTTGCCTTTGGTGTCAGTTGTTTGAAAAACACTAGAAGCTGACATGAGGTTTTCTATATATTGTCCAAGAACTTGGTTTTCCGATTTCAGCTTCAGGTTTTCTTCCTTAACTGCATCTACTCTTGCAGAGAGATCTAGATTGAAAGAAAAAAAAAGAGACAACAGGAAAATGATGACAATGACATTACCAAATGTTTCTTATCTAAACACGCTATCTTACGACGAGCACCTCCATGGCAATGATAATTACCAACTAATTTTAGAGCTTCCTTCGTACAGGGAAAAAACAAAACCCTCACAGGTGGTTACTGAATTCAGATTGCTTTCGAGAAATTAGGGCAAGTGAAATAAACTCAGCACCAATCAGGAAATCATTTTCAAGAACTAATTTGGGCACCTTGAAGATATTTCACATGAAACTGAATGCTACTCTTTGTAACCAGCTCGTCTGTCAGTTCGTCGGACTGCAGTGGAGGGGGTGTTGCTGTGATGGTGGATGTCACTGGTATTGTCAAATACCAGCAGGGTTAAACGTAAGAGTAATTCTGAGACTGGTTAAAGACCCAACAGGCTTTTGTTCTGATGCGCACAGGGTAGCCGTGAGTAGGAACAGAGTGTCAAGGGCACCTGACAACAACAAAGTCTTTGTAAGCAGCAGTTATGTTTCAATAACTCTTAAAATGGCTATTGTTTTCAAAGAAAACCATACTTTTATAAACAAGAAGTCTGGTTTATATCTTATCAACCGTATAAGAACACAATGTATTTCCTATAAATGTTTAATGAACTAGGTGAACACAACTGATTTCGTATACGGGATATAGGCAGCCAACTTCCTATAGCAACAACAGTGAACCCTCATTTAT